ATTTCCCAATTTTCTCAACTAAACGCCATTTCTTAATGCTAAATGATTAGAATTTGACAAATCCGCCCGATTTTACTTACTACACCCCATCTCAATGCGCCTCACCGGTTTAAAATATTAGTTTTTTAATTCATTTGTCTTGATCACAGTGTTTTTGTGCTGTTTCTAACATTTTTAATACAATACCGTGCGACATATCACTCAATAAGGTACAAAATAGACTTTGGTTTTGTTAAATTCCACTAGATTACAGGATTTTATGCTTATTTCTTTTGTTTTCTATCTTTTTTGGTACTAGAACCGTGCAATGGATCACTTTTAGCATTTTGACAAATCTCTTATTGGAAATTCATCATTCAAGGTTTAGAAAGCAAGCTTTTACTATTGAAAATGCTGAAAGTGATCCAGTGCATTGAGGTGCTCCTTACAAAGACTAATTCTTTTTATTTACAGGTAGAATGGCGCGAATCAAGATGCGAAATCTGACAAGCTTTCCGATCGAACGTCTTTGCTTCGATCTGAAGTTGGAGGTGTTGGAGCAATTGAACGCAGAAGATGTGATTGAATTGGTGAAAGTCAATCAAGGATTCCAATCAATGATTTCGACTCGACCGTCGATCGTTTCTGGACATCATGTGGATACGATTGAATTTGGGCTTGATCCACAAGGAATTGAAGCAATCAACATCAGGAAGCTGAATTCGGAGTCACTTAAGGTCAATCTGGGTGTCATTCGTCATTTTCCTTTCATCAAAAACATTCGCTCGTGCAATCAATTGAGAGTGAGTCGCTTTTACGACAGTCCAATCGACGAGGACCACGCCTCTTTTATGATACAACTTGAGGCAGTGAATTCACTCTATTTGGGTAACTGTTCGCCTTGGCGCCTGGATTTGCTTTCTCATTTGTCATTCAAGGTCAAGGGATACGCGAGTCTTCCCAGCTTCCTTCAAGAAGCTCCATCAAAAAAAGATCTTTTTGGGCATTTCATTGAGGCTCAACTCAACGAATGTGAAATGGTCGAATTTGATTGTCAAGATGATGATGAATTTCAGTTTTACCACAATGCTTTGATAAAGACCCACATCAAATATGTTGTAATCGATTGTTGCAAGGAAAGTCTCATCGTTCCGGCCATTCAAAGGATTGTTGGCCACGGAATTCCGAGCAAAAACCCCGCAGCGATTGTGAGAATTTTTGATTATATGGACGATGTGAAGGCTACAATCGTTGCTTTTCTCACGGAATATCCAGGAATGAAACAAATCAAGGGGAAAAATCGTCAACCATTCGTTGCATTGGCAAACGATCGTTGGATGGGAAGCAGTTACACCCGCCTCGACGATGAAGACTCTGTGTTTCGACAAAATATCAATGCGACGCGAGATTGCATCTACATGTTGTCCTTTGATGAATTTTTCGCCTTCTACATCAACCCGATGAAATGATCGATCATTGATGTTTTATTGCTATTTTTTGCTGGCCTTACATTGCCTTTACGTGCTTTAAATCCTGTTTTTGCCTTTAAGCTAGCATTAACTAATCTCAAAGTCTGAGGTTTATCAAATCCAAACTTTTAAATTTTTGCGGTCGATGCCAGTTTTTCATGATTCTTTCTTGTGTCTTGTTGTTGATTTACTCATTCTGTCTACTACGTGTATGAAAGTGAAATTTGATCTCCGTTAATTTGAATTTAAATGTCTTTGCTTAAATTTGTATTTAATTCCCTTCCCTAAGATATTTGAATTTGACTTAATTTCTAAACGAAAATTTTCCTTTTCAATTCTCGATTTCTCTCCCTTCCGTCAACCAAATCAGCCTCCATCTTCGCGATTTTCAAATTCGCCTCGATTTGAGCGATTTTTGCTGTCCATCGACTCATCTCGATGTCTTTGTCCTTCTTCATTTCTTCCCTAAAATCTTCGATTAAATTAAAGACTGTTTTTGATAGAAGCAAAGATTTGGCGAAAAACCCACAAATCGGCTTCGAGTTGGGCGATTTTGGCGCTCTTTTCATGCAATTCCTCAGTCATTTCGGGCATTTCTGGAGACTTGGAAAAAGAAGAGATGCTCTGAAGACATCGAGGAGGAAGATTCGAGAGATTGTCCATTTCGGTTGCTAGACGATTGGATGCCTACAAAATGGCTGAATTTTGTCGAGGAACAAGTGAAAATTAAAGGAAACAGCTACTAAAGAGGCATAATTGATGAGAGAAGACAAAATCAAGCAAGAAATTCCAAGCAAAATAGGGGTTTGTCATCTGAACTGAAAACGAAAACTGCTATAAAACAAAAATGATTTGAGAACGTTGAGAAACGTTTTGAAACACAATTGTTTATTCACCCAATGACAACAGTTGGCTCACATCTGCCGTACAGTAAATTGAATTGAGTAAATAACGATTTACAAATGACAGGGAATTTCAGTTTGAAACGGCTCAATGTGTCGATTCTTTTTGGAAAGATGAGCCGTAATGGTGTTCGTGGAGAACAGGAATTGATTCTCCAATCGTCCGTATTTGTTGTGCTCCTCGAAAGAGATTATCCAATGATTTCGAACGATTCCCCCAGAACTTTCGATACAGATTCTGTCCAATTTTCGGAGAAACAAACATTGGTGTTGAGATTGGTGGCTTTTCTCTGCTCGACGAACTTTTCCATTTCGTTTCTGCTCTTTGGGCCGTTCAAAATAAGAAAAGTCTGGTTCAAATTTATTGAGTCAGTCAATCTACACAACCGAAAAACCTTCTCAGTCGTTTGAAGAAATCGTTTGCTCTTCAATGTGGGCTTCGATTGGCATGGAATCCTGTTTGAAGACATGACCGAAAACTTACAAGCATTCAAAGCTTATCAAGTCAAATGCCCAACATGTACACATAACTATGCTACGTACTACGTCAACAAAATTTCAAGGTGGATGAATTGCCTTTATATTCACTAGTTTTTCTATAGATTTGCTTAATGAACTACCCGAAATGACTCGACAAATGGAAACAATCCAGGCAGCTTTAATGAGTGGCGAAGATGATCGTAGCTGCAACGAATGTCTTAATGTGAAATGTTGATGGAACTTCGTAAAGAATCAAGAAAATGTCACCAAAGCGTACAAGAATTTGCTTGAAAAATGAAAAAATACTGATTCAAGCATAGTGACGACAGTGTCTAAAGACCTTTATAATAGAGATCAACGAGAATCGACTTTAGTTTTAATCAAAGAACTATCAGTCAAACGAATTGCTTTTGACCAAGAGTCTGCTATTTCGAAAATGACGGAAAAAGGCAATACTGTGGGGAAGAGCCGCTAATAAAAGTTCTCTAATCCTGGTAGTCTAAGTATTGGTAAATTATTGCGGAAAACCGAGTGTTCTCATTCTATTTCTTGCCCCAAATCATTGTTATTTTGTCGCAGTTTTCGTTTTCAGTTTTCGCTGAAATGAATATTGATTGTTTTTGGTTGACGAATGATGACTAAAGGAATGCCCATTTCCCTCCTTTCTCTTTATTTGGTAAGAAATCCGTATTTTGCTTGGCAACAAATTTCTTGTTTGATTTGGTCTTCTCTCATCAATTCTGCTTATTTAGTAGCCTTTTCCTTTAATTTTCACTTGTACTTCGAGAAAATTCAAAATTAAATTAAAGACTTTTTTTGATAGAAGCAAAGCTTTGGCGAAAAACCCACAAATCGGCTTCGAGTTGGGCGATTTTCTTCAACAAGATGGCCGATTCTTCTATGCGTTTGACATTCTTTTCAGGCAATTCTTCAGTCATTTCCGGCATTTCTGCAGATTTGGAAAAGAAGAGATGCTCTGAAGACATCGAGGAGGGAAAGGAAGATTCCAGAGATTCTACAACCAACCTCGTCATCCTGATGCCTCAATGTCACAAGACTTTTGTGATCTTCTTTCTTTGTCTCGATTTCGATTTGAGAAATTTGATTTGAGATAGCTACTCCTCATCCGAGTTAACATCACTCAAGTTCAAAATCTCTCCAAATTTCTCACTCATTGCTTCTCAGTCTCAGTGCCCTCGATAAATTTCCTGATCATGATGCTGGTTCCAGGAGGCAAGGCGGGGGCTCTCAGGTTCGAGTCTGGTAGCTGATTGTCTTTTTCTCTTCATAGATTTTAATGCCTTGAGCAGTCCCCGTTTTAGAGAAGCTTCGTTTAGTTATGCTTTTTGTTCTGCTTTAACACAAAACAACGTAAAAAACATAGAACAACCAAAACAACAATCAACAATGATGACATCTTGAGCAACTTTGAATTTTGAAGTTAGAGAAATCAAAAAGGCTCTAAAATTTGCATTATAAAGGGAAAAATTGTTTACGCCGCGGGGGAGGTAGATAGCCTTTCCCGCGGGGATTGAAGAACAATTGTGGCGATTTGATGGGAACGGTCGGGTCTACTTATCCGTATTAATGGTGTACCACAAGGCATTAAAACCTAAGAAAAGGAAAAAAGACATTCAGCTCCTGGACTCGAACCGGAGAGCCCTCGCCTTGCGTCCTAACTCACCACCACTCGGCCACCGCCGTCATTGCTGCGGAAGACTGGGCTCTAATGTCCTTACTGTCGCTCCTGTTCTGAACTCCTTACAAAACTTTAAACGCTCACACGACTTTTGAAAGCGTGTAACCAAAAAGAAAAGCATCATGATCAGTGTGAAACTCTGCGTCGATTGGTCTAAGGCTCATGTGATTTGGGCAGCACATTCAGTTGACCTTCCCAGAAAGTAGTCTCCTGATTTATTCATCACGAATTGACGGCTTTCTTTCTCCCGAAATGCTACTTTTTTTGCACGAAGTTCAATTCGAAGCGATTGTTTCAAGGACTTAATGAGTCAATCGTCAGTTGGAAGACGATCGCTTTTCTAAACAATTTCAGCGCTCTTAAAGGCTCTTTTCCGCGAAAAAATACTTGTTGATCGCATCGTCACCTCATTCGTTCTTCCCATTTTCCCGAATTTCAAAACTAATCAACCAATTCAGCGGAACGGGTGTGATGGCCGTCGGTCTAGTCATCACGATTCTCCTTCTTTCTCATCAAATTTCTTCCTCGATTCAACAAAGCGATCAATTGGATCAATTCACGTATTCTTTTCTCTTCAAATAACTATGTTTTCAACCAAGCCAATCAATAGAGCGAATTTGAAAGAATAAACAAGAAATAGGCTTGAGTGTCTCAATGGCAATTCTTTTTAGGAATGAAATCCAACAAGAACTCGTCGAGACTCGAGGAAACATCCTCAAACTCCAGACGGAAATGTGGGTGAAATCAAGAAATCTTGAAGAATTCAATTCATCTTTTTTGGATTTTGAGTAGTGAGTCATTTGAGTATTCAGCGCAAGAGAGCGGAACGAAACAAAGGACAAAGACGTCGAGATGAGTCGATTGACAGCAAAAATGGCTCAAATCGAGGAGAATTTAATGGGGAAAAACGCAAAGTTGGACGCTGATTTGGTTGATGGAAGGGAGAGCAATCGAGAATTGGAAAGGAAAATCGCCGAGACGAAAAGGAAGAACGACGATCTCGAAACCCAACTGTACTAATTTTGTCACTTTCTTTTTTGACAAGCTCAATATATAGTTAAAATGCGAACTTTTTTCAGAAGAACGGAAGTGAGAGACGGAAAAGCCAAGATTGGAGAGCTCGAAGGGAAAATCACCGCGTTGCAGAGCAAGAACTCTGACCTCGAAACCCAAATGTGAGTTGTATCTCTTGTAGACTGTGACTTGAGAAAACAGTTTTTCATTCCTAAAACATCCATTCCAATCAATTCCTCTCTAGACAACTTGAACAGGAAAACAAAACGGCCGAAATGGTGAAGTTGCAGGCAGATTTGTGGGTTTTTTTAAGGAAAAGGATAGGGTATTTGTCTAGAGAAATGTCTAGGGAACAAGTCTTTTTCAAAGTACTTCTCAAAAATGGTTACTTTTAGCCTTCACAATAAGAAGCTTTCATGATTCAGGAAAAACAGTTTGTTCCACTACAAGAGCAAGACTTTTACCAAACAATACGTCTGGTAGTTATAAGTTTTAAAAATTAAGTTTTATAAGTTTATAAGTTTTAAACTCTTTATAAGTTTAAAAAATGTCAAAAGTTATAGATGATCTGGGGCATGTCATTCCTGTGATGCTTCAGGGTTCAGCAATGATGAAAGAGAATTTCTTCCGGCAGAATTCTTCTATATAATAATAACAATACTAGGCGTCTTGTAAAAAAACATTTTAGATGAATAAATCGTTAGGAAATGCGGAAGAGAAGGCAATTTGAGAAAAAACACTAAGGCTAGCCAAAGAAGATGAAAACGCTGAGCTCGGCTTGATCTGGATGTAAGTGTAAAGTGTTTTAGAGCATTAGCTCTTTCTAACGATAGGTTTACTTTCAAATATCGTAGTCTTACTTTTCTAGCTTCAAGAAGCCGAGGAATAACGAGGATAACCATCCACTCATCAGACCTGAATCCACTTTACATCTGGCTCAATTTACGTTCAAAGGAAAGACGAAAAGACGAAAAGAAAAGACAATCGTGTGTTACTTTTTCAATCCAACAGATCTGAAATATGATTTGGCCAAGCAGGTAGCTTTTCGAAATCAATTCAATTGATTTCCCACAGTTTAGATGCTCGCAATGATAGATTCGAAATAAACCACTCCAAACTTTTTTAAGTATCGTATCAAAAAGCTGGTGGGTTCAATTGGACAGCAATGTAAACTTAAAGAATTTAGACTAGATCTATTCAAAAGCATATCAATGCTATGGTTGACGAACTTCGTTCAGGCGATAAAGCCTCAAAAATGGCAAGTGAGGTGTCACGTTCGTTGAAAGATGAAGGTGAGTATTCAAAGTTAAATAATAAAACAAAATTCAAACTTTTGGAACATGAGTGGAATGCGGAGATTATTGGAGATATTTACACAAAAGTTGGGCTTAACCTGAAAAAAGATGGAACCATCAAGAAAATCATCGCAACCGGCTATGCTCTAGGGCATTATCTAGCCTTCTTGTATGCTAAAATTTTCAGAACAGAGGTGGGTTTAAAAAGTTAAGTAATTCCATTTTACCAGCCAAAAACCTTTCGCTGCTCTGGTACAGAAAAAAGAATGGGTTTCTAGCTAAGACAAAGTTTAGCTACTCGGCCCGCTCGATCGAGAGAAGCGTGAAATGATGCAGGAAATGCGGAAAATGTATACGGATTTTACAAGTGGAACCATCAATCAGGAAAAAGTTCAAAAGCTGAAGGATCGAATGCTCTTTGGTGGAGGCGGTGAAAGAGTCCAGAAAGTGGGAACAACAATTGGTAAGCAGTAAAATTTGAAAATTGAAAAGAAAACAGAACTTATGGCTTCAAGATCATTGCGCAATAATTTTCTATAATTCCATTTTAGATAATACGACCAAGACTCTTGCTTTCCTGGTCGATCAGCTTGAGCTCGATGAGGTTTAAGAAGCCCAAAAAATTTCATTTTTCTTGGAAATATTAAGAGCCATTCCGATTGATGTGCCAATAAAAAGCTTTACGTTAAGTGATAACTTATCTCGTTAAGGATATTACTTCTTCTTTTACTGGAATTATATTTCTACCAAGATTTATTTTTCAAATAAGAAAACAAATGGGAATTTTGAAAATTCAAAGAGACGAAAACAGATTGCCAGCTGGCCTTTGGCTTGCTTTGTGAAGTAGCCAAAAATTAGTACAAGAATTTACAAATTAGTTTACCAAATCGAATAAGAACTGGTGCGAAAAGGACAAACAGTTTCTTGGAAATCACCTTGGAAATTTTGAACGGGTGATGGAGATTTACAGAATGGACAAGAGTAGGTCAACGTTTTGCTCACTCTCTTTTTCCACTGTCCGTAGTATCGCTCTCTTCTTTTGGCAACTCATTCCCCTTACAGAAGACGTCATAGAATTGACAATCCAACGCTTTTCCATTCTCTTCTCTAAACAATCCCCATCAGCCCACTCCAAGCCCAATTGTTCATCGGAGTCAAATAATCGGGCTCCTGCTTGACGAGAATTGCTGAATGACTCTTTAGGCGTCCCGACCCATCATCGTCTCATTTGAATTGACAGATGGACAATGGGCGATTTCACCCAATTCCATCCAACCCAGCCACAAGGCATCCTAAGAAAGAGCCATTTAGGTGTAAAACAGCGTTCGTCTCCTTTTTGGTTCTTATTGACTGAACGCCTCAATTGATGTTTGTAAAGGCTTTAGAAAACTTTAAAATCAGTTTTTATATCTTGATAAAGAAGCAAAAAGTTTTGCCAGGGAGAGGATTCAAACCAGGGACAAAAAAAGAGAAATTCGAGTCAAACGCCTTAACATATCATCCACCGGGCCACCGAGGCACACCGACGGCCCGATGTCAAGGCTTTAAGTAGGCTAGCTTGCTATTTGGCGAAAGTAAGCGAAACTTTGAAAGCTTATCTCTCGAAAATCAATAATGATAAGTATTAGGTTGAGGAAAAAGTAATATCGGTTTTTTTCACAAAACTGTTTATGGCTAAAAGCATAAACAAAAGCACATCAATCAATGAGATATTCTCCATTCTTCTTGATTACTTGTTCCCTTCTTCGTCGCAAGTCCCTGATCCCATTCTCAAAAAATAGGGACTTTTCGAGCCAAAATAAGTGTCGACGGCTTTTTTGATCTGTGCATGATTCTCGAACTTTTCTCGCATACGAAAACCCTTCAACGACCGAAACAAAAAATAATCTGATGGAACCAAACCGGGACTATAAGGTGTGTGGGGCAGAAGTTTCCAATCAAGCTCGTCGATTTTTTGGTGAGTGATTTTTGCAGTGTGAGGTTTGTCATTATTGGTTATTTGTCATTGGTGGTGATTATTCCTACCTATCCGCGTCCTTTTATCTGCAAAAAAAGCCCTCAATTCTGATAAATGTCTTATGTTCTTTTCCCGGTGCGACTTCGATGCTGATTTCTTCATTTTGAGGTCATAGAGAAGGCACGCTCGCAACATGAGTTTTTGATCCGTCATCTTCGACAACTAAAATTATTTATAATTCAATGGTCAAACAAATGTGAAAATCTGTAAAATAAATAAGCGTTATCAACACAATAGAATAAAATTTAAACTGGGTTAGAGCACTTTCAAATAGAGAAAATATTGTTCCGGAAAGTCATGCGCAGTTTCTTTTGCAAACCCCTAATAGCACACTTAATAAACGCCAATTCTGAACAATTAACTTCATCACATTCAACAATCTCAATATCCGAACACTCCTCAATTAGGACCTTGAATGGGAGGGGTCGAACGGGAACAAAAACAGGGGCATACCAATTTTATGTTATGTAGTCATTTTCATTTCACTTACTTATGTGTGATAGCCGACGAGGAGTGGATGATTCTTTCGACAGTCTTTGCTCCGATTCGTGTGTGAAAATAATTCCTTGTATTATAATCGTTGTATCCGTGGAAAAGAAAGTGTCAGCCAGCCGGAGGGATGCTGATAAATCTTATGGAAAGACGATTAAAATGCCAAGTTAACAGGTCGGCGAGGGATAAGTCCCCGATTTATTGTAGTATCGGCAGACTATTAGAAAATATGCAAGGGTTAAAGGCTTTGTTATCCTATTAATCATGGTTTTAAGAAACCAAATTATCAGCGCTTGGTATAATTTCAGATGACAAATCTAGTGCTCAAGAGTGCTGCGCTGATTGCTCTGGGAAGCTTGTTGTCAACTACGACTCCACTGCCTCGAGCCACATTTTACAACTAAATTTTCCAGGCAAAGATCTTGTGAGGTGAGAAAATTATGAGTTATAATATAGTGAGAGTTAAACAATACATAAACTTTTTGCTAGCCATAAAGGCTAATCAGTTTGGGGAAACTCAAGAGACATACAAAAGCTGGCTAATTGTAACCAAAAGTAATTCCTCTGGACCAAGTGATGTGTAGAGTAGAAAAATTGACACCAAACTAATATCCCGTCTAAAAATCGAAGTTTTTTGTCTCTTTTAATTACCTAAAATTTAGCAGCCTTCAATGCGCTGACGGTGACTAGCACTTGTATTTAAAGGAGAATCTCCCTAAAACACATGTTGAGTGTATTGCGAGTGTTCTGAGGTCAATAAATTCATTTACATTCCACACATTGTATGTCAAGAATTTGTCAAGCACCATTTCATTTCCTAAAAGTTTCTATTCTTTGTATTAATCATTCTTTTGCTATTTTTCTAGTGGAAGGCAATGTCGAAAGGGAATCAAGTCAAAAAGGCGTCATCGTCTTCTATTTCCGGTAGGAGAGTTACGTTAAATAAAGAGATATTTCGAAAAGCTACATATTGATACTAAAGAAAACTGAGTTTGACAAGTGAATACAAGTGAAGCCTGGGTCCAAAATAGACTTGTTAATGGTAATCCAAGTCAGGAGATTATATCGATTCTTGGGCAATAGTATAATAACATTATACCAAAAAAAATGATTATTTAGAAAGTCAAATGTTCAAATACTATATTAGAATTACCACTGAAAATTTCTCAAGACTAAAAGACTTACTTCTAGTTTTCTAAATTCTATTTAGGTGGAGGTTACAATAATTTGGACTGGCTTGGAAAAAACACAAGAAATTAGATTACAGATTCCCTTGTCTATTTTAATAGTTAATTTCTAGCAATAATCATATTCGAAGCGTTTATAGGGAATGACCTGTTGCCTACCAAGGAAGAACGGTGCAAAACGCGGCGCCGACTTTGATTGAAGGACTGCGAGTGGTAAGACGTGTAACTAAAATCCTAAAGAAAACTGTTGTTCAGGAAAAAACAAAGCTCAAAGTACTGTCCAGGAATTTACTGCACTCCCGATCCAGATACGGCTCTCGATTACGCGACAAAGTATAAGCACACTGATGGGAACTACTACAGGCTTTTCTTCCAAGTGATTCAACTGTACACTGAAAGAAATTATGGACTCAATTATTTATAAATATCTCTAGGCTCGAGTCGATCCTGATAGGAGAACGATCAAGGATCTTTCAAAACATGAAGTACCCAGTCACGCCGATTGCTGGCTAATGACCGACAATGACTCGATTCGAACCTATGGGCTCTGTATCTTCAAATGTTGAGAGCTAACTGAAGAGCTATAGCTTTTTCCTATTTTGTCCACAATGTTTGTCCTTATTGTATTGTTTAAAAAATAAAATCTCTAAAAGATTGGTTCCAAGAAATTGCAAATCTTTAACAAACTCTCTCCCCATTTTGTTGGATCTACACGGTTCAATTTTTTCCCAGATTCACGTTTGTTTCTTTCTTTTCAATCCAGATTCATTTGAAATCTGCTTGTTGTTTCGGTCTCCTGAGCCCTTTACTAAAAAGAAAAGTGATTATCACTTGTGCGGAGGAGTGGGGCAAAAGAGTTAACCAAGCAGAGAGAAAGCGACACTAAGCTAGTTGTATGGAATCGCAAATTCTATTTCTCTATTCGTTCACCCCGGAATCTATTTGCCGACTTAGCCCTAATATCGTACAATAACCATGTAGTTCTTTGGATCGGCTTAATTGGAATGTTTTGAGAGGTAAAAGTTGCTTCAAGGCCTATATTCACACAACCAGCATTCCCAATCGATGACAAGTTCACCCAAAAGATTTTCCCTTTCAACCAGTCATCGATTTCCCTCACAACGTGCCCGTTCATCCGGCCTCTCTCGTACACGTTCTCGAAGGCTTTTCCCTCAATGATGTAAAAGCATTATATTCGCATTCTCGAAACTCGTCCTTTAGTTTATTTTTTCAAGTCTTCTCGTTCATTATTTTATCAAAAGTTTTTAAGGTTTTTTCTCTGAAATCAATCAGAACTCAATAATTATAATATCTCCGTATACATACGGCTATTTTCAGTGAATCATCAAGACATCTCGAGTGCAAAAATCGAAATCTGGGTGAGTTGATTTGAGTGAATGTATTCATTATGATTCAATGCATAGTTAATTCAAATCAATTTCGAGGTAGATGAATTCTCTTTATACTCACTAATTTTTCTATCGATTTTCTTAATGAGCTACCCCAAATGATTCGACAAATGGAAACCATCGAGGCGGCTTTAATGAGTGCCGAAGCTGCAACGAATGTCTTAATGAAAAGGGGCCTAGACTCGAATTTGTTTAAGCCTGATCAAATGTTGATGGAACTTCGACAAGAATCAAGAAAATCTCACCAAAGCGTTCAAGAATTTGCTTGAAAAATGAAAAAAATAAAAACCTTTATCATAGAGATCTACGAGAGTCGACTTCACGTTCTATCAAAGAACTATCAGTCAAACGAATTACTTTTCACAAAGAGCCTGTCATTTCGAAAATGAGGGGAAAAGGCAATACTGTGGGGAAGAACCACTAATTCTCTAATCCTGGTAGTCTGAATATTGATAAATTATTGAGGAAACCGAGTGTTCTAATTCTATTTCTTGCCCCAAATCATTGTTGTTTTGTAGCAGTTTTCGTTTTCAGTTTTCGCTGAAATGAATATTGATTGTTTTTGGTTGACGAATGATGACTAAACGAATCAGGCATTCCCCTTTCTTCCCTTTATTTTCCGTATTTTGCTTGGCAACAAATTTCTGGTTTCATTTGTCTCATCAATTCTACTTATTTAGTAGCCTTTTCCTTTAATTTTCACTTGTTCTTCGAGAAAATCCAAAATTAAATTAAAGACTTTTTTTGATAGAAGCAAAGGTTTGGTGAAAAACCCACAAATCGGCTTCGAGTTGGGCGATTTTCTTCAACGAGATGGCTGGTTCTTCTATGCGTTTGACACTCTTTTCAGGCAATTCTTCAGTCATTTCGGGTATTTCTGGAGATTTGGAAAAAGAAGAGATGCTCTGAAGACATCGAGGAGGGAAAGGAAGATTCCAGAGATTCTACAACCAACCTCATCATCCTGATGCCTCAATGTCTCAAGATTCTTGTGATATTCTTACTTTGTCTCGAGTTCGACTCGAGTTTCACGAAATTTGATCTGAGAAAGCCACTCATCATCCGAATTAACATCACTCAAGTTCAAAATCTCTCCAAATTTCTCACTCATTGCTTCTCAGTCTCAGTGCCCTCGATAACTTTGATAAATTTTCTGGTCATGATGCTGCTTCCGAGAAGCAAAGCGGGGATCACTGGTTCGAGTCTGGTAGCTGATTGTCTTTTTTCTCTTTATAGATTTTAATGCCTTGAGCAGTCTCCCTTTGAGAGAAGCTTCGTTTAGTTATGCTTTTTGTTCTGCTTTAACACAAAACAACTTAAAAAACATAGAACAACCAAAGTAACAATCAAAAATGATGACACCTCGAGCAGCTTTGAATTTTGAAGTTGGTGAAGTCAAAAAGGCTCTAGGAAAAATTGTTTACGCCGGGGGGAGATAGATTGAGGAACAATTGTGGCGATTTGATGGGAACGGTCGGTTCAGTTGACTTTCCCCGAAAGTAGTCTCCTGATAACTCCGCGTTTTCTCACTCACCAACTTCACACGAACTGACGGCTTTCTTTTTCCCGAAATGCTACTTTTTTTTGCACGAAGTTCTATTCGAAGCGATTCTTTCAACGGCTTAATGAGTCAATCGCTTTCCTAAACAATTTCAGAGCTCTCAAAAGCTCTTTTCCGTAAAAAAAACAATTCTTTATTCCATTCGTTCTTCCCATTTCCCCGAATTCAAAACGAATCAACCAATTCAGCAGAATGGGTGTGATGGCCGTCGGTCTATTCATCACGATTCTCCTCCTTTTCCATCAAATTTCATCGTCCATTCAACAAAGCGAGCAATTGGATCAATTCACGTATTCTTTTCCCTTCAAATAGCTATGTTTTCAACCATTCAGCTCTCCGAATGATCGAGATGAGATTCTGTCTGGTGATCGTCGTACTTTGAAGTTGGTTAGAAAGGGGTTTTTCGATGATCTTAGATTTCAGCAATAAAGAGGATTGTCCGGATACCGTCTGCTTGAGGTCTTGTCAAAGAAATTTGTGAGTTTCTTGGGAGAAAAGCGAAATTGATAGAATAAACAAGAAATAGGCTTGAGTGTCTCAATGACAAGACTTTTCAGGAATCAAACCCAACAAGAACTAGTCGAGGCCCGAGGAAAAATCAGCGGACTCGAGACGGAAATGTGGGTGAAATCAAAAATCTTGAAGAATTCAAGCTCATCTTTTTTGGATTTTGAGTAGTGAGTAATTTGAGTATTCAGCGCAAGAGAGCGGAACGGAAAGAAGGACAAAGACATCAAGATGAGTCGATTGACAACAGAAATGGCTCAAATCGAGGCGAAATTAATAGGGAAAATCGCCGAGACGAAAAGGAAGAACGACGATCTCGAAGCACAATTGTACTAATTTTGTAATTTTCTTTTCGACAAGCTCAATCTATAGTAAAAATCCGAACTTTTTTCAGAAGAACTCAAAATACGGAAGCAAGAGACGGAAAAGCCAAGATTGGAGAGCTCGAAGGGGAAATCAACGCGTTGCAGAGCAAGAACTCTGACCTCGAAACCCAAATGTGAGTCTATTTGGCATCTCTTGTGGACTGCGACTTGAGAAAACAGTTTTTTGACTCCCAAAACACCCGTCCCACTCAATCCAATCAACTCCCCTCTTAACAATTTGAAAGAGAAAACAAAATGGCCGAAATCAAGAGGTTGCGGGCAGATTCATGCGTTTTTTTAAGGAAATAGATGGAGTATTTGTCTAAAGGATCTGGACTAATGTTTTCCGAAGAAATTCAGAAATCGCACCATGAATCTCTTGGATCTGTATCAGGATGGATGGTCGTATTTGGCAAAAACCGCTTCTTGGTACAAGGTTTGGTGGATGTTGTGAACCGGGATTATCTTCATCTCAAGGTTATCGAACAAAGAATGTCATTTGATGAAGCCGAGGCATATTGTGCGAGTCGAAAGAGCCATTTAGTCTCAATTCACAGTCAGGAAGAGCACGATTTTGTTTGGAAACTCGGTAAGAAATCGAAATGATTCAATTCTGAGGATTCATGTTTTACGTATAAATTTATGCTTTATAGCCAAAATAATCGATATTTATTTCAGCGAAACCTGTTTCTTCGTATGGTTGGTTCTGGATCGGACTGAAGGTTGAATTTTTCTTATTGAAAGACATAAATAAATATATAGAAACAAATGATTCTTTCAGCCATTTCCGGAAGGCTTTTTGTGAAAAATCTATTCGTTTGATTGATAGTTCTTTAATAGAAATAATGGTTTCAATTGACAAACTAGAATGTTTGTAAAATGAAAAAAATTTGGCAGAAATATCAACGGTGAAAGACAAAAATTTCTTTATACAGAGAAACCCGGACAAAAAGAATGCTTTTGAATGGACGGATGGAAGTTCGTTGGATTTCACGAATTGGGAAGAAAGAGAGCCGTATTCGGACACCCACGCTTATGTGAGATTTTCGACGTTAAATAATCAATATTTATTCCAATTTCCAATGCCTAATTAATCCAAAAACATTTCGATCAATCTGAGAAAATTTCTTTTTGTGGAAGAACGCAGAGTGCTTTATCAAAAGATTGAAAGCCATCAGAAATGAACACATTTCAGCTTCATAGCTCCGATGGGATATGGCGGGCCTATTATCCTACCAATCAGTATCCTTTTATCTGCAAAAGGAGCTCTCAATTCTGATAAATATGTTCCTTTCTGTGGACAAAAACGAATAAATTCCATTTTATTCAATCTTCTGAAAACACACAACTGCACATGACCTTTTTCTTTATTTCTGAATTGTTTGTTCAAAATCTCATATAAAAGTTTTCCCAAAAACCTAGAATTCCGCCTGCAGCTGCCAGTATTTTGCTCTCTGGTCGCTCCTAAATAGACTATTAGATAAACGTGTTGAACATCAATGGACATCAGCATGAAGAAACTGACAATTCTTCGTGAAGGTCGCACTTCTCGTCCCTCAACTCGTCGATTTGTCTTTGATTTTTGTTCTCTCTTTTTGTTCTCACCGTTAGTTCTACAGATATTTGTCTCTTTTTGGATAATCTTAACGATTAAGCAGGTAGATAATGTATGTATGTATTGTAGATATAATGAGCTGTATATGTCTTCATAGTCAAAAGCGAATGAAATTCCATTTTCAGACGAAATTGGTTCAATGAAATCATTTAGCTATGTACATATTAGTGACATTGTACATTATACTCTTTCAACGACTCTGTTCCATTCACAGACAAACCTGACTAATCGATTTTAACAAAAATCTCTTTTCAATCAAAGGAGTCCCTATTAGTCCAAATTAAATAGAATAGCGGCATAGATCGAAAGTTCGGCGTTCCGTGGTTCGATCGAGAGGCGATCAATTCGTTATCATTTTCCAGATTAGCTCAAGTGCCTAGATTAGGAACCCCTCTAAATAGATGAAATGAGCTCGATTTTGATGAAAGAATAGTACTTTAGTGAAAAATTCGATTTATGTTTTTTTTTACTCACTGTTGGTTCTGTAGGTGGAGATTTTAAACTAAATAAAAAGAAAGTAATAATTCTTTCAGCCATGTTCAGAAGGCTCTTTGTGAAGAATTTATTCGTTTGATTGATGGTTCTCTGATAGAAATAATGTTTTCAATTGGAAAACTAAAATAATTTCAATTATAAGAAAGTAAAATCGGATCGAAATATCAATGTCTAAACATAAAAATTGCTTTATTCGGAGAAATCCGAACAAAGGAAATGCTTTTGAGTGGACGGATGGAAGTTCGGTGGATTTCATTAATTGGAAGGTTGTAGAGCCGGATTCGAACACCCACGCTGCGGTGAGATTTTCAACGTGAAATCATTAATATTTATTCCAAGTAGTCAAAAACCGAATGAAATCCCATTTTCAGATGAAATTTGTTCGATGAGATCATTTAGCTATGTACAAATCACTGCATTAAACTCTTTCAACGACTTTTTCTGCAGAATGGTCGACTATATAAGGTGCCCGTTAGTGATGTCAAACTGAAACAGTGTCCCGCGTCAAGAGTAGCGAGTGAAGAGGTCAGGCGAAAGAGATGCTGTTGGAAAATTGCTTTGAGTTTAACAAAGATCTCTTTTCAATCAATTTCAATCCTATTAGTCCAAATTAACTAGAATACCGTATTCTCTCTAATAGTATTGCGGTCCGAGAGGGGGGTTGAAAAAATCCTAGTGCACCCACGAAAATTTGAATTTCGGGTGCTTCTTTTTCATCTAAACCTTTTTGACTTTATGTTTATGTGACATTTTAAAGCTATTCAAGCTAGCAAAAGCGAGGCTTTTTTATTCATTTTCTAACTATTCTTCATATGAAAAAGTTAGCAAAAAATCAAAGATTGTTGTGCAAAGTGCAAAAACATCTTTTTGTTGTTTGTCAAGACACAAATTGTCAATTCGCCAGCCCACAACTGTATGTCAAAAGGAGCCAAAGGAGTACGTGAAAGAATTGCAAGAATTTTTGGAACAAATCTTATATCTGTCTTACTTTGGTAAATGATAAAACTCTTTAATAGTAGTGCACTCTCTAATAGTATTGCGGTCCAGGAGGGGGCTGAAAAAATAGTAGTGCGCACTACTATTAGAGAGAATACGGTAATCGAAAGCTCGGCGTTCCGTGGTTCGATCGGGGGGCGATCAATTTGTTATCATTTTGTAGATTAGCTCTAAAGATTAGGAACAACTTTAAATAGAGCAAAGTTTTGATGGAGATCACAAAATAGAGAAACCCGTGTGGGTTTGAATGGGAGCTTTATTATTCTGGGCAAGCAATGATCATCAATCACTTTATTTAGAAGTCGCCATTCTTGAAGTATGGCGAATCGATGCTGTGCTCACCGTGTTTGTGCGATTCGATTTGATATCTAAATGTTGCCAGTAGGTCAAGAACGGGGAACGCGCTCGGAACGCATTTCTACTAGTTTATCTCTAGACGTGTCAACCCACTGGAATCCGGAAGCTCGGAACTGATTTTCTCCGGCTCCCACGTCGAAATGATGCTAAATGGTTTGGGTCTGATCTAGATAGATTCTCTCCCAACCTTCACATAAACCGACATAAACCTTCCGCTCCGATGTTCCACGAACAGACCAGCGTTACATTTACGCCAATATTAGCGGTGATGCAGCTGCTCTAGTTCAGATGAAAAACGTACAAAGTTAAATTTTTCCTTTAGATCAACCTTGAAGTAGACGCGATGATGCGAATGTTTTGGCTGATCAAGTGAGGGCCGATCAAATGAGGGCCTGTCTTGCCTACTCTGATGATAGCAATTTGATTCCTGGTGTACATAGCTAGACGAAAATAATTCATACCAGCCTACAATTGTTAAAAGTCGGCTATCGGCTCTAAAAATATTATCTAGAAATAAAATATCCACAGTAAGTGCAATTCAAAATCATTTAGATTAGCAAAAAAAACCATCGAGTGGCCCTCGTTCAGATTTCGAGAGGTATTGGCCAAACGATCCACAAGGCTGCCAACGAGATTTGTGTCAAGAATTACCGGTTTCGAGCTTTAATTCATTCGAGCAATCAACAATCGGAACTTGGAAATATTAGGTTGGCAACTAAATAATGGCCCTCGCCCTTTTTTGATAAAATCTTTTAATCTTTGCGTTTAATCTACCCTCGCTTGTTGTTAATTGAATATTACTGAATTTCTGGTGCATTATTATACGTTTTTTACTTTCCTTGATTTGATACTTTTCAAATAATTTTGTTTAGAAATGGAAGATCTCAAATATCGAATGCGTGTCTGTCTCTGGTACGACTACAAACAAGACAAAACAGCTGCCGAATCCCACAGAGATTTATTGCGAGTTTTTGGTGATGAAGCTCTTTCCGAAACACAATGTAAGAGATGGTATCGACGGTTCAAGGAAGGGGATGAAAGTCTTGAAGATGAGCCTGAAAGTCTTGAAGATGAGCCTTGAAGATGAGTCTTGAAGATGAGCCAAGGACGACCCAAACTTCTGCAGAACGATATTTTGGAAGCAGCTTTAAAGGAGGATCCAAGTCAAACATCACGCGAGCTAGGGGATCGATTGGGCTTTTCGCATACTGCAATCGAAAAGCGACTTCATGCATTGGGGAAAAGTAACCGCAGTGGAAAGTGGATTCCGCATGAATTGAGCGAAGAAAATAAGGCTACTCGTGTTATCACAGCTGGAATACTACTAAAACTTGCGAAAAAGGGAAGCACTTGGATTCCATCGTCACTTCTGATGAAAAATGGATCTTTTATGATAATCGAACGCGAAAACGACAGTGGCTTAGCACAAACGAAGACCCAAAACCAACTCCGAAGCCGGATATTCACTCAAAGAAAAATCTCCTCTGTGTGTGGTGGAGTTCTTGTGGGTTGGTGCATTTCGAGGTTCTCAAAAGCCGGCAAACGGTTAATTCAGAACTCTATTCGTCTCAACTACATCGTGTAGATCAAGCAATTCGCTCTCAAGGACTCGAACCCTCTTCAATTCATTTTCTCCATGATAACGCAAAACCACACACTGCAAAACTTACAATGGAGAAAATCGAGGAGTTGGGCTGGAATGTTCTTCCTCATGCGCCATACAGCCCGGATATGGGGCCTAGTGATTACCATCTTTTTCGATCGATACCACACTTTCTAGCCGAGAAAAAGTTCAATGACCTTGACAAAGTCCGAATTTCAGTGCAGAAGTTCTTTGACGATCAACCAGAAGAATTTTTCAAGAGAGGAATCTAGTTGCTCCGTCAAAAGTGGAAAGAAGTAATAAAGAATGACGGAGAATACCTTTTGGATTGATGTTGATATTTGTTCATCTTGTTAATAAATTTTTTGTTTTTACTGAAAAGGGCCATTATTTAGTTGCCAACCTGATAGACACGAATCGATTGAAGAAGCAGTGGCTATTTCTATACAACGAATTTCAACAGAAAATAAGTGATTTTTGTTTCTATATAACGAATTTCGATATGAAAATAATTTTTCCGGTCCCTTGCGATTCGTTATATCGAAGTTCGACTGTATATGAAAGCATCATCAACCTAGGACAATTTGAATTGGAGATGTTGTTTCCCATTCACCCCAACGTAAAGCTTTTCTCTTTCAATTTCAATTGAATCAACGCTGGCAGCAAGTCGGAACTCTGAGAAATGATTGATAACTGAAATTTACTTACAAGCTATTTGATTGCGATATTCAAGCCAAGTTCAAGTCCGTAGTCAAGTTAGAAGAACACTCGGTCTACTTACGATAATCCTCGCAGAACTCTGACTCTTCCCATTGATCTCCGGGGTGAGCTTTCGGTGAAACGTACCTCAATTTCAACACTATAATAAAAGAAGGAGAGACTTATTTCGATTTTTTATCTATGAATATGAAAATATAATATGAAGTGTGTCTAGCCTAGTTAGAGTGTCTAGCTCAGCTACTGGAAAACTGGAAAATTGCCAACAACGGGAATTCAAAACCGACATTACTTTTTCCTCAACCTAATAAAAACAGATTTTCGAAAGAAAAGATCTTTTTAAGAAAAAGCATTCTTAAGGTAAAGTAGGTAGATAGTTATAAATTCAAATTCGGTCTCTACTTTATTTGTTTGATTTTATCTAAAGAAACGAGACGGGACAAATCTTTTGACGCATCTTGTATCTAAAGTTTTCAGTCATTGGTGCTTTCCC